GATCCACATGGGAGAGGTCGTGGGTTTATGTCCTGGGGCTTCCCTGGCCACAGTAGGCGAGTATGCGCATGCCTGTGATACGGGCTGGCTAAAGCCGGGGGCAGGTCACGGTACACAGATCCAGCTGAGGGTGTGTCCAACCTCAAAGAAATACTGGGTTGTTGGAAGTCACAACATATTTTTCTATGCAAAAATGCATCATGACTTTTCCAACAACCCAACAAATAAGCTTAATTGTAAAAAGCCGCTGTAGACTCTGCTTTGCATTCTCACTGAGTGATACAGCTCTGAGGGGGTTCCCAGCAAGGTGTAACATGGCCTACTGTAAGCTTCAGAGCAGTGCTATCTGGAATTCCCTACAATGTAGAAATGGTCAACATCTGGCTGTCCACACAGTGGCCACTAATAAGCTGTGGCTATTAAAATTTATGTTAATTAAAATGAAATAAAATATAAAATACAATTCTTTAGCCACTAGTCCTGTCTTAAGTGCTCATGTGGCCAATGGTGAGGTTTTAGAGAATTAAGTCTGAGACAAGCAAGTGATGAAGCAGGCCAGGGGCAGGCAGGAGACCACTGCAATAACCTAGGCAGGGGACAGTGGTGGCTTGATAAGGGGCTGATTTAGCAGGGGTGCTGGGAAATGGTCAGATTCTGGATAAAGTTGTTTTTGTTTGTCTGTAAAAGAGATTTTTGCTATAGGGCACATGTGCTGGCCAGACAGACAGCGAGACAGAAAGTAGAAATCACCCTCCCTAGAGGGGATGGCCACGCTGCAATCCCTTCTCCTCGATTCTCCTCTCAGGACTTTGGGCATGCACACATATGCACCCAGTATGAGTTTTAAGCCATCAGTTCCGAGACCTGAACCTCAGTTGACTATGTGGGAGTCCAGCAATGTAACCATTATGCCATCTGCCGGTCCCCTGGATAAAGTTCTGTAGGGAAGAGCTGACAAGGGACTGTGTGTGGACTATGAGAGGAGTCACAACTAGCTCCAAGGTCCTTGGGCTTACCTGCAGGTTGGGAATGAGGGTCATTTACCTGGAGAAGAGAATGTTTACAGGGGAAAGTGGAGTGGCACCAGAAAGTCTGTCTGGGCACGAAAACTGAGATGTCCGTAAGGCATATTGATAGATGTTTGGAGTCAAGGAAAAAAAGATGTGGGTTGAAGATACAATTTTAGAACTTAGGATTTTAAGTCACTCCTCTGGGAGACTACCTAGCAATGCCTGTAGAGGCCTGAGAGCCAGGGCTCTGAGGACTAAATGTTGGGAAGGCAAGGAGGAATTGGTCAAGGAAAAGGAGGAGAGACAGGTGGAGAACCAATATGGAAGGTACCTAAAAGTCAAATGGGTGAAGCATTTTGTAAAGTCATCCAGTGTGTCTAACGCTGCTCATACAGACTAAGAGAATGGAGAACAGACCACTGCATTCTACAACACAGGTCATAGGTTCACCACTGGGGTGGGGTGAAGGAAGAAGAAAGCACCCCCACCCCCCATGGGGAGTGGTCACATCCCTTCTGTTCCATTTCTCCCTACTTTAGGGATTTTGAGCACGCAAGCACATGGCATATTTCTCAAGCCACCAGGTCCGGGACTCAAACCCTGCTGTCAGCCGAGCAGTACTGAGCTACCTTAACCACCAGGCCACAGGCTGGCCCCATAAGAAGGTTTTAATCTCCACTGTCACTGCCTTAGCTGGACTTCTGTACTTGTCTTGCCAGTGCTTTATTTCACTCTAGCCATCCACTACTCAAACATGTCTTCAATAATTATTGCCATTGTTATCTTCCTAATCCACAAATTTTCCTGTATCACTACTCACACACACACACACACACACACACACACACACACACACGCTTCAACAAGCTAAAACTAATTATTTAGCTAATTCCATTTCCCCAAACATGCCATGTTCTTCTAGGTAGTACTGCCCTTTTGCTCAAGAAGCTACAGCTGCTTAAAAGAAGCCTTTAATCTGACTGAAGTCTAGAGAACTCCGACTCATTCTTCAAGATTCAGTCTAAATGTCACTGGTAGTAAGAAACCAATTCCTCAAGCTTGTTAAACATTTTTATTACAACATTTATCGCAGTGTCTGATTATTCTATCATCTCTCCCCAACTCACTACCAACCCCAGAGGCTATGGGAGAGAGATGGCATTTTCTTCATCTGTGCATCACCACGACACTACAGACATTCAGCAGCCACGAATGACTGCTAGCCTGATCCCAAAGAGTACTGTGCTCCAAGAATGAAGATGACACTGCTTAGGAGCAGCTCTGTCTAGAAGGCACATTGCCACCTGGGGCTGGAAAGACAACAGAATTTAGTGGGAAAGGCGAAGGAGCTAGAGGTTTGAAACAAAGAGATACAGAGTCCCAGGCAGGACTTCACAGGGGCAGCTGGTGCAAGAGGTGAGGTGTAGATGAACCTTTCTTCCTCTACTAAGACAGAATCAGAATGTTGAAAGTGGATTTCAAACCTATAGATCACGGTTTCAGGGGCCGGCAGATGACATGGTGGTTAATGTGCTGGACTCCCACACGGCCAACCATGGCTCGAGTTGGGTCCTCACAACTTGCTTTCTCCCTCCCTCCCTTTCTGGTCAAATTAAAAATATATATAAAATAACATAGATTATGGTTTCAAATAAACATGGAAGCCCCTCTCATAAAAGGGAGTTCAAGCTCTCTGGGCTCAGACCTAGTTGGTGGCGACATGGTTAGATGGACCAAGAATGCCAGCATTGTGGGTAACTATGGGACCCACTGTGGTGCCTCCCTCTGGAAAATGGTAAAGAAAACTGAAATCAGCCAGCATACCAAGTACACCTGCTCGTCCTCTGGTAAAACCAAGATGAAGAGACGGGCTGTGGGGATCTGGTACTGGGGGGGTTCCTACATGAAAACGGAAGCTGGTGGTGCCTGACCTACACCACCACTTCGGCTGTCACTGTGAAGTCCACCATCAGAAGACCGAAGGAATTGAAAGACCTGTAGAAGTTCCACAGACATCTAGAGTATCACTAGCCTATAATAAATGGGTTAATTTATGTAACCCAAAGAAAGGGGGAGGGAGGACTCAAAAAAACAGTAACAAAAAAACCATTGCTTACAACCATTGGCAGATCTACTGAGTGCCCCTACTCTGCTTTAATTGTATGAGTCCGATTCACCCTATAATTGATCTTAGTTCATGAAGAAACATTCTAAGAACCAAGGTTACACACCGGATCCTTCATGGGCTTATCAGCTTTTACTCCACTCCTGAGACCTGCTTTCTACAATATGTACGAGGGAGAGTGTGTGGTGGACTGGAACAAATCTCTCCACTTTAGCCCCTCCCTCCAAAAAATACACCCAAGAACTTACCACGCATCTCTTATAACAAACAGACCTACAAGGTTTCCATGTGTCACAAAGGACAGTATCCTATACAGAGCTGCTCCATGAGTAAGATTTTAGTTCGGGAGTCTCTGCTACTTCACTGCATCTAAACCTTCCCCTACAGTGTACTGAGTCGGTATTTTAGCACATAACTCCTCAAAATTATGAAGCGTGACTTAGAATCTGGTAATTCTGTTTATCTGCAGGTGAATCCTCAAGAACAACCAACCTCTACATGTTGCTACATCAGAATTTATAAAGAAGTTTTAATTACAGGCAACTTAAAAAAATGTAGTATTAGAAAAATAAGGGAGTCTGAAAAGAATATAATCATAATGCTTTTCATGCAGAAACATCTACTTTTTATTATATAATATATAATTATAAGAAATAAGTAACAGTAACATTTTTTTTACTGTTTTCTCTCTTTTTTTTTTTTTTTGGAGAGGTTTTCACTATAGGGCGCGTGCACTTGCCAGACAGACAGAGACATAGAGACAGAAAGCGAGAAATCACCCCCCAGGGGGGATGGTCACGCCGCAATCCCTTCTCCTCCATTCTCCTCTTGGGATCTTGGGCACGCACACACACACCCCCGGCGTGAGTTTTAAGCCACCGGGTCCGGGACGTGAACCGTGGTCGACTACGTGGGAGTCCAGCAACATAGCCATTACACTAACTGCTGGGTCCCTCTCTCTCTTTTTTTTAAGAGAGATTTTTGCTATAGGGTATGTGTGCTCGCCAGAGAGACAGAAAGTGAGAAATCACCTCCTGGGGTGGATGGCCACGCCGCAGGCCCTTTTCCTTCATCCTCCTCTCAGGATTTTGGGCACCCATACACACATGCCTGGCATGAGTTTTGAGCTGCAGTGTCCGGAACTTGAACCATGGTTGACTATGAGGAAGTCCAGTGACGTAATCATTATGCCATCTGCTGGTCTCAAGATTTTTTTTATTTTTAAGAGAGATTTTGGGGGCCAGCAAGTGGTGTGGTGATTAAGGGTGTTGGACTCACACATGGTCAACCATGGTTCAAGTCAGGGACCTGGCGACTTGCATTCTCATTTTCCCTCCCTTCTCTCTTCCCCTCTCTCTCTCACTTTCTCTCTCTCTCGTTCTGTATTTTGGTCAAATTAAAATAAATAAATGGATGAAGTTAAATAAAATAATTCTTTAGAAAAGAATTTTTAAAAGGAGAGATTTTTGTTATAGGGTGTGTGCATTCACTGGAGATACAGAAAGAGAAAGCAAAAAATCACCCCCTGGGAAAATGGCCCTGTTGTAATACCTTCTCCTCTATCCTCCTCTTGAGATTTTGGGCACAGTTACCCTAAATTCATGGCTAGCATCAATTTCAAGCTGCTGGGTCCTGGACTTGAATCGCGGTCAGACATGTGGGAGTCCAGCACCATAATTACTTCACCACCTGCCGGCACCCAGATGTGATATTCTGTCCTATAAAACCTTGATCCTTGGCATCTGGATGCTTTGCACTTCAGCCTATTGACTACATTTATTCCTTTTATGACCACAAGAAGAGTCGGTTAAAAAAAGGAACCACCAGAATAGTCTTTTTGAATCTTGGAACAAAATATTTCTTACCTGGGGGGAAATAAACTGGGGAGGCACTTGCGCCCGGAGACTAGGAGAAGAATTTAGCGGCTGCACTGGTGTGTGCAGGCCTCTCGATTGTGCTGTGCTGTTTCCAAACAAACCGTGATTACCACCCTGCAAACATAACAGCAAAAGTAAGTTTTCGTGTTAACGTGAGGAGATACAACTAAGAAACAGTTCTGGTTTTCTATCCCTCAGAAGAATCGAATGTTATTCCATGTGTTCCATGGAATAACAAAATTTTATAACTGAGAAGTTCCTGATCTTGGCATGCCCAGGGCAAGGACTCAACTCAAGTCACGGGCACACCTGTGTAGTCTGATGAACTCTATAAAACAAAAGAGTTACATTTTGTCAAATGTCAGAAATATTCTTTTTTAGTGTGTGTGTGTGACTAAAAGGTATAGGCAATATAATATTTATTTCAGCTATTCTTCTCTGTTGAAGATTGGACTTATCAGATTTGAACTATATAATCTGAGGTCCATTTTGAAAGGTAACTGAGAAATGCAGGCTCCTGAATAACATCAACTGTGAAACAGCACTGTGATACTATCTTGCCGGTTAGTTTAATTATAAAACCACTGCCATCCCACAGTGACCCCAGTGCCGTAAGAACTCGACCCCAGGTCTGAACGCCCTTCCCTGTCCTGGATCGGCTAGACCCCTTCTTTGAGGAAATGTGAACCAATCTTCAGTGAGATTGAGAAAACAAGAAAGAGAAAAAGTAAAAAGCATTACGGAGATACTAAAACATTACTCACCTGTTATTTCTCATTCAAATGTGTGAATAACCATCTACCTAAATATAAACTAAGCTCACTAGTTCCTAGAAGCACTTCTACCTTGTTCCATGAGAGAGCCATACAAAAAGCTGGACTGTGGTGGTCCCTCCTCCATGACTTGCTTCTAGCTGATGAAAGTCCTTCAGTGAAGAAATTCTGTTTGGTAAGTTGGCACCATGCTCAGCTTAGTCCCTCTGCCAGAGGTTCTTTCTATGTACCACCTTCTCCCAGCCTTAAAGGCTTGCCTAGGAAGTCATTCTCAGTAAGGAAGTCTTCTCCAAAACCTTCTTTGCATTTCATAACGAATGAACTAAGCCCACCTGTATGTTCTTAAAACACTTCAGTCCTTTCCTCTTTGCACTCCCAGACCTCAGTAATGCCCTGCACCATGAATATGTAAATGTCACTTGCAAACATCCACGACCCACAAATATTATGCATGTGAAAATATCCCACTGAACATCTTCAGGAGAGAGAGCTTACCACTGCTTTCACCCCCTGAACTGAAGTCAGCACCATCATCCTAAATCTAGATCACGGGGTTGAGGGTAATCGTAAACAAGAATTTTGTAATGACATCATTAAGTTCTTATAACTGAAGGTACTGTGATGGCTTAATGATTCAAAATTAGATTAAGACACTGCTACAGGGAAGTTAATGAACATAAAAAAGCACTGAAGGTAAAAATGACTAAACATAAAAATGGCATTCAAAATCTGTGCATCTCCAAAGATCTACCATGAGTTTTGTGGATTCTCAAAGGATTGTTTACGCAGGAGAAGACCTTTCGTTCTAAACTCTAGTATGCCCATTTCTCTTGTCCTACTAATCAAACGGGGAGCCAGACGGGCTCTAACTTTCTCAGACCATGGCAACTGATAACTTGGCTACTAACCATCCTGAAGAAAACAAAGAATGCTGCTTTCCCCAGGAATACCTCCCCCACTTACACTTTCCTACTAAATAATGGTTTGTTAGTAGATGTCTGTTTTTCATGATTGGTCCTTGGATGGTGGGACTGTGAGAATCTAATGTCCTTGCCAGAGTTCATGTTTTGGCAAATATAAAACTGCTTTGTGAGGGTCATTTTTAATTTTAACCTCTCCTTTGTTAAGAAATATTAAGAATACTTTACTCTTTTACATTTTTATAAAATCAAGCTCCAGTTGCCTCTTTACAGTAGACAGATCCCACCTTCCCTTACTGAAGAGTTTAAGCTTTTTATTATCAAGGGTCTCTAAAGCCATACCAAGTACTTTGGCATATTTGAGATGAATGGCAATACGGTTAGGTCAAAGCCCTGCCTTCTCTGTGCTTAGTCAGGAAACCTGTCTCCAAAAGTCCCACATCTTCTTAGTTCAGATGTAGCTGTTCTGTACAATGATAAATTTAGGGCAATCATAAAGATTTGGCCTTTTAAAACATTACATTTAGAAATTAGGAAACTGGTTGTCAAAAGCTTACATATATGCTAATGCTGGTTTATCTGGCTCCTGCTAAAGCTGTACTGTCGTGTGTGAGGCTTTTACGATGACCTGCATGAATTAAGGCCTCACAGTTACTGGTGATATTTGCCTCAGTCATAATATTTAACTCAGAAGTATGTAAATCAAAAACAAAATGACCAAACTGACAGGAATTTTCTGTGACTTGAGAAATACAAATCTTAAAGTTTATTTTTTAATTAAAAGCTACATTAAATTAATGCTATGAAAATAGCCTAAAAAAAAAAAACTATGACCACATTTGCATAGAAAAAGTGTAACAACCTGGTTAACAATAGACTTTGTAGCAATCCACAGATCAAAAAAAAAAAAAAAAAAAAAAAAACCCCACAAAAAAACAAAAAGTCCCCACACACTAGGAGCAATGAGCAATGACCTTCTCTTACAGTTCGATGCCCAGCTAGTTTGGCTAGTCTATTATCCTCAAATTTGTGTGTACTAGTAGCATTTGATAATCATGTGAACCTGGAATCACATTTTTAATCACCATTAAGTAAGAGCTTTATAACTACATTATGTTTTTAATACCTCAACCTAAAGGGTCCCCCAAACATTATTATATTTATTTCTCTCCTGTTTATGTAAGCCATATATATCCATGTTCTCTGTGGCAATATTAAGAAAAACAGTGAAATTTCTAGGAAGAAAACAAAAAGTTCTCTCTAACTGCCAATCCAGAGAGAATCAATCTGAAACACATGGATATAGTATAATCTAGTTTTAAATGTGCTAAGGCAACAATGAGCATAGGAAAGGCCTATGAACTTAATGATGGTGTAAGTGGTATTGTTTTATATCATCCTTTATGTGTGAAACTCATCATATGAAAACAGGACACAATGAGTAATTACAAGTTGTATAATTAATGCCCTCCCATGGCACCTGAGGTAAAGGTCAACAAGCAACTGGTCACAGAACTAGGACCAGGAAGACATCACAGCTGGAGGGACTGCTGTAGAGGAACTATGGCTCCTAATCCCTGGCGCTCTCTACAATTGGGGGGGGGGGCTGTGGGGTGACAGACAGAGCCCTGCAGTGTCCCCCAGGCCTGTGAAGGTGAGGAGGCATCGTTCTAGCAGCCCTGCCAATTTGGTTTCTATTGCACAGTGCTTCCTGGAGGCGGAGACCTAGAAAGAGGCCACTCCAGGTCCATGGAAACACAGCACTATCCATTCCTCTCAAAGCCCCGTTACCTGCTAGTACTGTTTCCCTTCTCTGGGTAACTCTTGCATTTTACATTTAAGGACACTTGATTTTAAGATGCTACAAACCTGAAATACTTAATCTTACTAATTTTACTGCTTTTTAAATGAGCAGTTTCACTAAGTTGAAAAGACCTCCAAAGAATTACTTATCATTCAATGTAATTTTTAAAATGATAAATTTATTACTAAATTAGATTCAATAAGGTAATTTTGTAGCTTCAACAGTTTCCTAAGTTAGTAGTTAACTTTTTTGAAGGTGTTTGGTAGAAAGTGTGTGCTCACCAGAGACACAGAGAGACAGAGAGAGGGAAAGTGAGAAATCACTCCCCCAGAGGGATGGCTACGCCACAATCCCTTCTCCTCCATTCTCCTCTCGGGACTTTGGGCATATGCACACATGCACCCAGTGGCTTGAAGCCTGGTCTGCGACTCGAACTGTGGTCGCCATGTGGGAGTCCAGCACTTTCACCCCATACTACTTGTCTGCCTCCCAGCAGTTAACTTATTAAATGTAAACTTATGACCCAAAATGAGAAGACAAAAGAAATAGGTTGAAAATAAAATCCATGTTGAGAAACATGAAGAGAGATGGGTTCTATGGGCTAAGAAATCTATACTCTCCACTAAATATCATTCTGTGCATTCAGTAATCAACAAATTTCCCAAGACAGACAAATGATGCAATAGACTGCAGACCAGGGCCAAGGCGAGGCCACAGCCGAGCATACGAATTTGAGAGGCCTCCTTACTTGTCTAGCAGCGAAGTTTTGGGGGTTGAGCCCTGTGCCGATTGCTCCAAGGCTGACGTTGGGTAGTGTGGAACCAGAGGGAGGCAGCTTGTAGCTGGGAGAAGGGGAGAAGGGAGAGCAGGGAGCCTCATCCCCAAGGCACCCATCTTGATTGGAGAAAGGCAAAGTCAGCTGAAAAGCAGTAGGAGTTAGCCAATCACGAGTGTTGGTTAGTGAAGCAACAGAATGCAAGAAGGGAAAAGAGAGAAGCACCAGGAACAAAGTTAGAGTGCATTAGCAATAACCGAGGATGGAATCTGGAACTGATAATCACCACTATACTTTGCCCAACAGACACCATCTGCCATCCTCTTTGATATAGATTTGTCGTATCCTCTGAGTAACACATTCTGTCCATTGCGCTAAGATAAAAATTGCCAGACACTTTACTTTTATGCATCTAATATTGATTATTCTAACTATGTGGCTACTGAGACAGAATCAGGGCAATCTTATGAGCGTGCTGCTGTCTGGACCAGCATCAGTGGTCAGAAAGGGGCCGTGTTAACTGCTTTCTTGAAGACAAGGAACACTGAAAAGTGCTATTTTGAGTCAAGAAAAAATCTCCTCCATTAGAAATGTTAAAAATCAAAACCAAGAGGTATAAATTGCATGTTTAAACCTGGCACTCAAGAATTTGAAACGAATACCTTTGTATCTAAACACGGTTCATTAGGAAATGGAGAAAGATATGAGAGTCGTCTTAAAACTAGAAGGCAAGGCTGGTGGGTGACAAGGGCTATTTCAAAAAAAAAAAAATCACAATATTTAATCTGCAAAAACATAGCAGCAAAAAGAGAATCCAGAATAAATTTCTCTCCAAAATTTCTTCTCCATGTTTCAATTGTACATTTTCCCCTGCTACAAAAACTCTGACTATGCCACCCCCTAAACTTCATGCATTTTTCCAAATTCAGACCTTCACAATACTCACACAGTTTTAGCTTCTGCCTAATCACCTACTGACATCAGCTGCTTTCATGTTACCACTTCAATGTAGTGATGCTTGTGTTTTGCTCATTTAGTTCAGTAATTTTATGCTCTAGTTATCAAAAGACAAATGAGAATCAAAGCAGATTTTGTGAATTATTGTCTTAAACAAAGACTTCAACTCACCTTCTCAAAATAAGGCCCACTATCTGTGGTTCCCATGTCTTTGGAATTAGGTGGACGGAACCCAGATCGATCCTTCCTCATGATATCATTAAAATCCCCGAGATTCATTGCTCGCTTGTCCACATCAAATTTTTTATCTGGAAGGCTTCCTGAAAAGTAGCATAAACAGAACAAAAATTTTTAAGAATTCAAATCTCCCTCAGGACACAAGAATGGCCTATCCCACTATCCTCCCTAGGGTGGTAGGGCTGAGCTTCCTACTTTGGGGGACAGAAGCAGGGAGCTCTCCTTGGTTAAGGCTACTAGGGTTTTTGTCCCTGGAACACATGTGACTCCTTTTGTTTTTTTTTTAAATGAAACAAAACAGGTATCTTTTGTAGTATATTTTCCATAGAAGACTGAAAGAGAGCCTTAGGGCAAACCTGATAAAAATCTGGCTCAGAAAATACTTAGACTGCTTATTGATGTGTGAGGAACACATTTTGATTACAAATTTAAATGCCTTCAGTGAGAGAAACTGTCTGCTTTTGCTAATTCGAATCTGTGAGATAAATGGCTTGGGTTATGAATACAGTTACAGGGAATGAAAAGATGAAAGAAGCACAGCTGTGGCCCTAAAATTTAGAACTTAAGAGTGGAACACAGAAGGTGATGTGTCCACATTATCTATACGATGTGACTTCCCAGGTGCAGGGGTTGTTCACACTTTCTTTTCATAGCTCGATGAATTTGCTCCTGCACGCTAGCATTATGATTAGCACCCCACGAAGTTTATGGGTTAGTTATTAGTGTATTAAGGAATATCACAGATCGAAGACTCGTATTTCCTTTACTATTCAGGATTATTTTTCTTCCGAGTTTAATTTTCTCTAAGTTTCTCAGAGTAAGCACCAAACAGCATTACTGTGAAAGTCCCACAGACTAAGAGCGGTACTGTGTCTTTTCCAGCTGCAATGTAAGAGTTCATCAATAATGAAATATCCTAGCACAGATGGGACTGGCAACCTGAGGGCTACGTCTGGCAGGGCCACAGACACATTGTTTAGCCCCACAGGGTATTTTTAAAATATGAATTAGTTTCTAGTATTTAAACATTGAGATGTTGGGGTTGGCAAGTGGCATGGTGGTTAAAGTTGCTGGACTCTCACATGGCTGACCGTGGTTCAAGTTTCGGACCTGGTAGCTTGCTTTCTTACTTTCTCGCTCTCACTGATCAAATTAAAAAATAATAAAAATAAGAAATAAAGTTAAATAAGGTAATTCTTAAGAAAAAACACTGAGAAGTCAATAAATACTTGAATTACTGGCCTCTCGAAACACTGAGACTTGACACAGCCAAGCATGCCAGGCCAAGCACATTATTTGGATCCTCACAAGGGAACTTATGCTCTTCGTGGCTAACCAGGGCCCTCCAGGCCCACTTTCTCCTACCTGGCACTCACTGTTCACTTATATTGTTTCCTGGCTCTCATTATCACCCAAACTCTCCACCCCTACCTTGTATCTAACATTGCACAAGTGTTAATAACTGTCCAGTAGGCTGTCCCACATCAATTTATTCAAGGTATGAGATCCCAAAAGGAGGTCAGAAACAGCAGAATCCGCACCATTCTGTCCTCACTGGAGGAGTGAAACATACCTACAGACAAGTCCATTTTGCTGCTTGGACTATCTTCAGTTTGACTCTGAAAAATAAAGAATAGGAAAGAGAGAATTAAGAACATCTGTGGGGGCCAGCAGGTGACATGGGGCACTGGACTCCCACATGGCCAACCATGGTTTGAGTCCTGTAACAGGCGACTTGCTTTCTCACTTTCCCTCTCTCTCTCTCACTCTGTCCCTCTCTGTTCAAAATAAATAAATAAATGAAATGAAATGAAATAATTCTTAAAAAAAAAAAAAAAAAAAAGGAACAGCTGTGTCTCGGTCAGAGCAGCAGTGGTATTTTTCACGTGTGAACCACATCTTACAACTGGCACTGGGCAAGGTCCTCTGAAATGAGCTTTAAACAGGAATAAAGACAATGACATTCTCATACTAATAAACTAGTTTGCTATTATTGCCTATATTCCTAGAATTCCATTTTCATATACAATGAGCCTCAGTAAATCTGTAGACAGAGGAAAAACTAAATAACTGCTTGGAGAAATAAACCACTGTCCTCAAGTTCCACTCAGCCCGGGATCCAGTTCCACGAGTGGCAGCCAAACGATGACGACAACTTCTCGTGACCTGTCAAGTCATCAAATCTCAACATGGCAGCCAAGTCGGGTCATTTGTCTTTTGGCTACCAGGGACAGGGTGTCCTCACAATGTTCCTAGGATTCTATAAGAATTCCCTCTAATTGATCCCAATGTAGCTTTTCTAGTTACTTCGTTGTTGTCTTTTAAAGAATCATAATATGGAAGTTGGGATAGTAGTGTGGTCAGCGAAAACTGCAGACAGTTTAAGTATCTGACTCTTCCCTGTCTCCTAAGAAAAAGGACACAAAGATTACAGATTGAAAAGCCACAATCCTTAGCTGCTGCAGTATGTCATTATGAATAGAACAAATATTGCTTAACCCAAAAGATCAAATCAAGACCATTATTTCAACAGTTTCTAAATCTGTAATTTTGTACCATGTGTTGCAAGTAGTCTTAAAATTTGCACTGAAAAGTTGGCATATATTACATACATAAAAAAATAGAACTGGGGACCAGCCAATGGTATAATGGTTACATCACTGGACTTCCATGTAGTTGACTACGGTTCAAGTCCTGGACCTGGCGGCTTAAAATTCATGCTGGGGGGCAGGCAGGTGACATGGTGGTTAAGGTGCTGGACTTCCACATGACCAACTGCAGTTCCAGTCTCGGACGTAGTGGCTTGCTTTCTACTTTCCCACTCTCTTTCTCTCTGTCTTGGTCTCTCTCTGATCAAGTTAAAATACAATAATAATAAATAAAATTAAAATAAATAATTCTTAAAAAACCATTTCATGGGGGCCCACAGGTGGTGTGGTGGTTAAGGACGCTGGACTCCCACATGGGTGACTGCGGTTTGAGTTCTGGACCTGGCGGCTTTCTCTCTCTCTCTCTCATTGGTCAAATTAAAATAAATAAATAAAGTTAAATAAAATAATTCTTTAAAAAAAAAGATTCATGTTGGCCACATGTGCTTGTGTGCCCAAAATCCTGAGAGGAAAATGGAGGAGAAAGGATTGTGGTGTGGCCATCCTCCCTGGAGGTGTGTGTATGATTTTTCACTTTCTGTCTCTCCAGCAAGCACATGTGCCCTAGCAAAAAGTCTCTCAAAAAAAAGGAAAGAAAATAGACCTAGGCCATCCAGTGGCGTGGTGGTTAAGGTGGCTGAATCTCACATAGTGACAGCACAGTTCAAACCTGGTGGCTTGAAAAACACACCAGGCATGTGTCCCTGTGTGCCCAAAAACGCAAAAGGAGAATGGAGAAGGGATTACAGTGTGGCCATTCCCCCCACCCTCCCAGAAGATGATTTCTCCCTTCATTCCCACCGCAGTTTCTCTCTAGTGATCACATGTGCTTTACAGCAAGCCAAAAAAAAAAAAAAGAAAGAAAGAAAGAAAGAGAACTTACCAGCAATCCCATATTTGAAAACTGTTTGGCAAGAGGATTCATCCATGAATCACTGTTTCCTCCTTTTAGTGAGCACTACAGAAAAAAAGTATGTAACCTCAGAACCAAATGTTTATTTCACTCCAACCAGAGTCGCATAAATAGACTAAAAATGTAGAACCAAGAGTTTATCTTTTTGATTCCTGTTTCTCTTTTAACTTCAGTCACTTTAATATTTTATATGCTAGTTTAAATAATTAATGAGCCCTAGTTATATCTGTTTTCATTCTGATTTCATTCATCACATATAACTAAAAGTAACTGGAAAAAATATATGCTTGTGTAATGTTTCTACTTTCTAAGTAGAAGGAAGTCAACATCAGATCCTGTAAAATGTAGGTTTTATATCTTATTACTTTCGCTTTCATTAGGCTGTTCTCCCTGTAACCCAAGCCGGTCTTTATTATGAGAAAAGAAAGAGCCTGATTCAGTGCGCAGTATTTGAAGGGAGCCTGCTTAAGCCGGTCACCGCTGTTCCTGTGGATGCAATGAAGAACGCGTCCGTGTAGCACTTCATCCATTTGTTTCATAGCATAGAGGACACTGGCCCTTGGTGGGGGGAGGCAGGGAAATGTCCCAGTGGAAAATACTAAAACCGATCTCCTGGGCAAAGTGAGGTAGAGATGGGAGCTTGCTTTATGTTTTTATTGTTTTTTTTTTTTTTTTTTTTTTTTTTAAACTGAGACAAGCTACTTAACACTTTCACTTCTGTGAAGAGGGCAGGTGGAGCTACGATAGAGACTTGGTGGGGAAGGGAATGGGAGACTTCGTACACTTGTGTAGTCTACAGATAAGAATTCTGTATGCTGGAATGGGATTCGTCATTTCAATTTTATTAGTCTTGAAAGTGATGAAGGGGCCAGCAGGTGGCATGGTGGTTAAGGCACTGGATTCCCACACAGCCAACCACAGTTGGAGCCCTGGAACTGGCAATCTGAACACGCTGGGCACATGTGCATGTGTGCCCAAAACCCCAGCAAGAGAATGAAGAAGGGACTGCATCATGGCCATCCCCATAGGGGGTGATTTTTCACTTTCCCTCTCACTGTCTCTCCACCAAGTAAATTCGTCCCATGACAGAAACCCTAAAAAAAGAAAAAACTGATGAAGTACTTTAATCACAGGTTTTAAGATCAAAAAGCCCTCACTGGAGGGAGAAGGGAATAGGAAGTCACTCTTTTTTTTTTTTTTTTTCCTGAGAGATTTTCACTGTAGGGCGCGTGCGCTCGCCAGACAGACAGAGAGAGACATAGAGACAGAAAGCGAGAAATCACCCCCCAGGGGGGATGGTCACGCCGCAATCCCTTCTCCTCCATTCTCCTCTCGGGATCTTGGGCACGCACGCACACGCGCCCGGCGTGAGTTTTAAGCCACCGGGTCCGGGACATGAACCGCGGTCGACTACGTGGGAGTCCAGCAACCCAGCCATTATGCTAACTGCTGGTTCCCTAGGAAGTCACTCTTTAATAGACAGAGTTTTAGTTTTGTGGCCAGATGGTGCTAAAGGTAACATAACAACGTGAATGTGCCTAATGCCCCTTAACTGTAATACTTTAAAATGGTTCAGAGAGAAATTTAAGTTGTAAGTATTTTATCACAGTTTCTTTTCTTGTTGTAAAGTCCTCAGTATGAAAGGTTGGAATCACCGGTCCTGGAGCTAAAACAGTCAATCCTCAATTAATTAAGTTAATTACATCTTGGCTGTCACCTAAGTGAAGTATCGGGTAGTACCTTTCATTCAGTTAACATGGTTGCCTTGTTAATCTGAAAATAACCAAAAGACAGCAGAAGTGGACTAGAAGCCCGAGAGTATGAAAGAATGTGCTGACAAGCCGACTGACTAATTTCTTTTGTGACCAGAGTAAGAAAATAAAAGGCTTAAAGAGAGAGAAAACTATAAATGATCACTTATAACGTCTCGTAGAGCAAGTGCATCCTTAGCCTATGATAGAAACTTGGGGTACTCCCCGAAGTTAATACCCTACTGGCAAAGGGCTGAGGCACAATCCTTAGCCACCACGAGGCCTTCTAGGACGGCGTCCTGGACGGTGTATGAAACCCAGGAGAATATCAGCTGTAAAGCACTTCACAGGGCAGCAAGGCTCCTCTGCTGAAATTAAGTTAATGGATGTCCATTTCTTATTTCCACCATTTCACTTGTGGGATGGGGGAGGGAGGTGGAGGAGGGGCTTCTGCCAAGATAGTGGTCCAAGTTCAAAGACTGATGTTCGTGTTCTTTTTTTTTTTTTTGCTATAGGGTGCGTGCGCTCGCCAGACAGAGAGACAGAAGGCGAGAAATCACCCCCCAGAGGGGATGGCCACGCCACAATCCCTTCTCTTCTATTCTCTTCTCAGGATCTTGGGCACGCACGCACACGCGCCCAGCGTGAGTTTTAAGCCACCGGGTCCAGGATGCGAACTGCGGTCGACTACATGGGAGTCCAGCGACATAGCCATTACGTTAACTGCTGGTCCCCAAAGACTGATGTTCTTAAAAACAAAAATCCTTACCAAATTATTTAAACCCAAAGAGAAGCTGAATTGACATCAGATCTAGAGGGAAAAGAATAGGCATGCAGAGGCTGATCTAGTTACTGTGGCAAGGAGGAGGGTTCTGGGGGCCTTGGAATTTCCCATATCAGATAAAATCCAGACATTCTCAACAATGAAGAAGGCAGTGTTACCTCCCTTTGGTTCCTCTTCTATATTTCAGTAAGGATTTATTTGAAGGATTTCTTTGGATTTAGAATGCAAAAGCACAACACATTTATAAAGTAAACCTTGAGAGCTTCCAACAAATTAATATAATGTAAAAGCTAAAAGTGAAAAGTAGCTCTGAACATTTCATTTCATTACAGCAGTTCTGCAGTTCAAGGTTAAGGCCATGGGGAAGGAAGATGAGAGGTTAAAGGGAAGTAGTTATTTGTAAGAAAATATTTCTCCCATTACTTCTCAGCACTTCGGATAAGATCAAGTGCAGAAAGTATTTTTCCCTTTACTTAGGACCTCAAGCACTCCAGCTGCCTCACTCCTTCCATTAAAAAATTCTCAGTATGACTTCTAAGAATGAATAAGCAAACACAAACATTTCCAAAGTGGGTACCTTCATTTGTTTCTTTCCTCCTTGTCCCCAGCTTGCTGAGTTGTGGGAGGAAGCACTTCCCTGAGAGCCGGCGGTGTTCCAGACTCCTCCATCATCCTCCTCTTCCCAGCTGGGATGGCGAGTTCCTGTGACTGGCCCATCACTCTCCCCCCAGCCGTCTTGCATAGATTTGGAATCTTTAAGGGAAGAATGAATCAGCTCTTTGCAGCTATATATAACATAACAACATACATATAACAACCAGAATAATAATTCCTTCCAGATACAGCATTTTAGTACCAATGTAACTTCATCTACTCCAAGTACATGACAAGGCAAATACTATCATGCATATTTTAGAAAGAAGGAAATAAACCCCCAAAACTTCCATGATATACAAGCCAACAAACCAATGCACGTTATGTACTTTATACATAACACATATTACAAATATAAGGTATGATAAAGAACTGTCTACTTTGGGATGAATTGGAAAAGAAAAAAATCATGAGAAAAAGAAAAAGGAAAATTTTATAAGACTGAATATCAACATGGTGAAAGAAGAGAAACTCATGAATAGCCAGGGGAATTTGAAATTATATCCACACACCTGAATTTTCTTGAATACTAAAGAAAGAGACCCTAAACAAAGACAATATATAAACACTGGTTTTGAAAAGACAGGAGGAGAAAATGTAGGATAGAGAAGGAAGGATAAACAAAAACAGAAGGGCCAACAGGTAGCCTGGTGGTTAAGGCGCTGGGCACTCACACATGGCTAACCACGGTTTGAGTCCTGAACCTGGTGGCTTGCTTTCTCACTCTCTCTCATGTCACCACTGCCACTCCACCTGCCCCGTGTGTGTGTGTGTGTGTGTGTGTGTGTGTGTGTGTGTGTGTTTCTCTCTGGTCAAATTAAAATAAATGAATAAATAAAACTAAACAATGTATGGGGAAAAAAAAGAGAAAACAGAAGTTAGAGAAGAGGAAGCAAGACAGTGGTATCGACATTAGCATCCACAGTTTACTCTACCAACATCTCTCCTAGACAAAGATCTTTCATTTGAAGATTAGGGTTAGATCTAATTTCCTTTTAAAAATATTATGTGGAGGAGCTGGCAGGTGGCATGGTGCTTAAAGCACTGGACTTCCATAGGGCCAACCACAGTTCAAGTCCCAGACCTGGAGGCTTGCTTTCTCACCGCCCCCTACTTTCTCTGTCTCTCTCTGGTCAAAGTAGAAATAATAACAAATAAAATAACTCTTAAAAAAAATACTGTATGGAATTGAAAGATACACTTTGCAGTAGTAAAACTGTATAGCACGGCGAAAGAAGAGAAAATATATTCTCTTGTCTAGAAATTTATATCCACATCTTTACCAAATAACAGGACATTCAGGGAAGTCGTATGACACAGATCTTCATCTCTCTTTTTCTCAGAGAGATTCAAGAGGCAGAAAAGTGGCTCTTCCAGGCCTTTCCTTGAATGACTGCTGCCACCATAAACTATATACCCCCATCTCATATGTGCATTATGTAAGCACACAATCCATTGACAAGCAATAGGAGTAAAAAATCCAACATACATAGTACACTGAGCCCTTTATAAAAATGAAGACACTCAAATGAATCTTTCTTAGAGAAAGAAGCCAAACTTTGTGTTGTTTTGCTAGAGGGTGCAAACCTGTTTTGTAAGGGAGATGGAAAAGGACAAAGTACTCCCCAGTGGGGTGTGGTCAGGCCCCTAGGCCACAATCCCTTCTCTGCTCCATCCTGTTGGGAATTTTGGGCATGCACACATAAGTATCCTGTATTTTTTTTTTTTGGAGAGATTTTTGCTATAGGGTGCGAGCGCTCGTCACACAGAGACAGAGAGACAGAAAGCGAGAAATCACCCACCCTGGGAGGATGGCCACGCCGCAATCCCTTCTCCTCCACTGTTCTCTTGGGATCTTGGGCACGCACGCACGCACATGCGCCCGGGGTGAGTTTAAGCCACCGGGTCCGGTACTCGAACCGTGGTCGACTATGTGGGAGTCCAGTGACATAGCCATTACACCAACTGCTGGTCCCTGCCCTATATGTTTTTCAAGCAGCTGGGTCTGGGACTTGAACATGGGTTTGGCCAAGTGGGATCTACCTGCCTTAACCACCAGGCTATGGAGCTACCCCGAGAACTCTAATCTTTAATCATAGGACTTGTAACAAAATTTAAGACATTGGGTCAGCAGGTGGCATGGAGGTTATGGCAGCTGAATCTCACACAGCTGACTCTGTGGTTCAAGTCTCAGACTGGAGGTTTGAAAATCACGTGGGGCATGCATGCATGTCCAAAATCGTGACAGGAGACTAGAGAAGGGGTTACGACATGGCCAAACCCGCTGGGGGGGGGATTTCTCACTCCCCTCCGTATCTCTGTCTCTTTCTAGTGTGTATTCGTGCCCTACAGCAAAAAAATTAAGACATGTGCAGGCTAGAGATGATCACAGGTTAACTAAGAGCCTCAATGGGTAGGCATTACACATTCAAGTCCCCTAGAGAAAGGTATAAGCTATAACTAGATAATTCCGAAGACTGGGTGACATTTTTAGAATCTGGAGAAAAGTGAGGGTTTTATGGTAGAAGAGAGGTGATACTGAATTTGGTAAAGCAATATAAACACCTTGAACGTATCGCTGAGGGATTTGGTTAATGTCTTCCAATAGCACCTTGGATCTATTTCAAGTCTACTAGATGACATTTTTCATAATGATCCAACTGATTTCACAAAGAAAATCATGAAAAGATAAAATCTTCATGAAGGTAGCTACTTCTACAAGATAGAGTTTATATTTTTAAAATGCAGTCAAGTTATGTAAGTGCAAGTGTGAGTCTCTAGAATATAGCTTTTATACTTCTTCATGTGATGCTGTAAGAGTCCGGGCTATCATATGATAAAATCAGAAACAGAAATTTCTTTTCTGTTCAAATTTTTAACTGTTTCATAAAATTTCACTATTTAATCTAAAGATAATCCCTTACATGTACCTTACTTTTTAAAAAAAAAAAATCCTGCAAAGTTATAAACAAGTGGAAACAAACAACTGAAATTGAGTTTTTCAATTCAGAAACATCCAGTGCGACATTTCATAGCATCAGTCTCCAAAATTTTATAAATCACCATGACTATACACAGTCAGGGGATTAAGTATAGTTGTATTTTCAGTGATTATGAATAAGTGTAACACTCTTTGTTTAAAAAACTGAAATGAAATCTTCGTTGGGTTCAAAAACCTGAAATGTTCTTATGTGGGTAGATGCAAAAGATGAGAGAAGAAGGCAGAGAAAGATACAGGATGAAGTCCCTGGGAGCAGAGACCATGTTCCACACCGAAAGCCAGGGCATGCTTAGTTTAAATGATATGAATCAACAGAAATGCAAAATAGACATGGTAAGCACAGTACAATTATTGGGCTAAAAGAGTATCACATTAAAATTGTAATTCTGGCCAGACACTAAACCTAATTTAAAACAAAGTCAACAAAATTAACTTAAGACTTTCAGTTCACTGTGAATATTTTAGCATAAGCCAAGCCAAGTGCCAAGCCAAGTCACCACCATTTGCTATAACTTTATTTAGCATGCGAGGTCCCGAATCTTATTCAATCAACAGTTTAAAGCACTTAACAGCCCTCACCAAAATGTCTCACTCCCAAATTAACAAAAAGTCCCTCAAAAATAAAAGTGCTATATACTTACTAGGTTTCATGGCGTTGGGAACATTGGTAGGCGCGTTCCCCCAGCCTGTGGTCGCTGCTCCTGTATCATCTATCTCACCCCACCCAGGACTGCTTTCATTCGGCTCACCCCAAGCGGAAGTACCATTATCTGGAGCAGGCGGTGTGCTTTTGCTCCAGACTGTAAAGAAAGGAAGTCTCTAAGAATGGTTTGTTAAATGAAAACACTGTGATGTCCAATGGGGTGAAGGTGGCACAAATAGGCTTACTTGTGTTCTTTTAGTAGAAATAAAAATGGATTTGGAGCCAGCCTGTGGCTCAGTAGTTAAGATGGCTGGATTCTACATGGCCAGTCCCACAGTTAGAGTCTGGGTGCTGGTGGCTTGAAAAGCAAGCCAAGCACGTGTGCATCCATCTCAAAAGTCCGAAGGGTGCACGAAATGGAAGTGAAGGGATGGTGGCATAACCATTCTCCAAGTGAGGTGCTTTTTCACTTTTTCGCTCCACCCCCACCCCTACCCCCACCCCTCACTGGGGAGTACAAGTGCCCTTTGGCACAGTGGATTCAACATTGGGGGAGTGGGGCACCTGGCAATGCCTCTTTAACTCTTGACCCAGTAATTCCACTGCCAGGAAATTATATCATAGAAATACTTGTCAATGTACATGTACAGCGATGCTCACTGCCACCACTGGAAGCAACTTAAATCTATCAAAAGGGGATTGGTTAGATCAACTATGAGTTGATAAAAAGAGTACTAAATATGAATCAATTATAAGAATTCTAACGTGCTGACACAGAATACTTAAACGTATAATGAAAAAAGCAAGGTGAAGAACAGCATAGAAAGTAAAATTTTTGTAGAACTTTTAAAGGATAAAGACATTTTGCCATGAGTATGAACAAAATTTCTAAACAAGACGTAAATATCTAGGAGATTATCTTTGGGGAGTGATTCCAGGGCTTAAGATTCTTTTATTTATTATCCTTGCTTTTCTGTAGAGTTTGAAGGTCTTTACTGTAAGGATATACCTTTTTGAAATGTTAGCAGACTGTATTCTAAATGGGGAGTTAATGAACAATCTTAATTTCCTTCCTCAATCTTTTCAGTACTAGAATAAAATAACTAGTTACACATAATCATCTTCTTTATGGCCATGATTAGATTTACTAAATGCTAGGTTTACTTGGAGAAGCAGAAAATGGATTTTTAATATTACGATTAACATTTTTAAAAAAAGACTTCAAAGGTGCATCTGCTTAACTTATTGATACAGCCAACTTAACAATGCCAAACTAAGGGTGACATTACCACTGCTACTTTGAATTTATCAGGTATGATATTTTCTATTCAAATAGCAAGGGAAGAATGTTTTGGGCAACTGAGTACCACGAGGGAACAATTTCTTATACAAAGCACTACCCTTCCAGAGGTAATCATTAAAAATCATTCTCAAAGAGACAGAAACTTTCCAGATGCCCACTTTGCTATAACAGGTGATGATTACTAGAAAAACAACAGAATATTTCTCTTTGCTGGGGAAAGAGAAACACAGAGCGTGTGTCCATAGGTAGATTCAGAATGGGAATCAAGTCTATTTCTGCCATTACTTAATTTTAAAATCTAGGGCTTAATTTGGCAAAATATTAATCTTATGGGTTCTATAGACAAATACAATTACAGGAAAAAATAATTTTGGGGACTAACACAGGGTAGTCATGTTTCTTTTTGCCAAGAACATTAAAATATGTAACCAGCATCCACTATCGCTAGCACTTTATAAAAAGAGAGATTCTGTTAGCACAAAGTGGAAACTGAGGGAAAGATTCTCTGAGCAACTCTAAGTCGCTGGGGCCAGCAGGTGGCATGGTGGTTAAGACACTAGACTCCCACATGGCCAACTGCAGTTTGAATCCTGGATCTAGTGGCCAGCTTTCTCACCTGCCCTTTCTCTGATCAAATTAATAATAATAATAATAATGGGGTCAGCAAATGGTTTAGCTGTTATGTTGCTGGACTCCCCCATGGCCAACCAAGGTTCGAAGTCCCAAACCTGATGACTTGAAACTCACACGGGCTGCATGTGCATGCGTGCCCAAGATCCCAAGAGAATGGAGGAGAAAAGATTGCTGCATGGCTATTCCCCTGGGGGGGGGGGAGGGATAATTTCTCATTTTCCCTCTCAGTGTCTCTCTCTCTCTGGTGAGCACACACATCCTAAGGCAAAAAACTCTATAAATTAATTAATTAACTAATTAATTTAAAAAGGTCCTGGTCTAGGATTTCTTGTCTTCATCAAAACCTCCTAGGAAAAGCTATTGCTTACCTGATGCTGATTTACCGGTCATCGGGGTGGGCAGGTTTGGTTCTCGAGGTGCTGGGCCCCCCTGGGAATTCTTATCCCACAGATTCACATTCTTATAGTTGTAACTGTTAGGGTCTCCCCATGCTGAAGTGCCATCATCGATGTCCATTTTCCGACTAATCGACTGTGGGGATGGCTCTTCCCAACCACTGGGCTCCTCATCCTTAGGGGTGGTGGGCTGCGGCCCGCTGCTCCAGTTGGAATTGGAAGGTCGAACACTACCGGGCGGTGGCGGGGGTGGGCCTCCCCATGAAGTAGAAGCCTCTGGTTGTGGCGGCGGTGGCTGCTGTGGCTGCTGCTGCTGTTGGTGCTGTTTATTCCAGGAATTGGACTGTCTGCCTGTCTCATTCCAAGCAGGGGATCTTTTGCAATCTTCCCACCCACCTTTTGAAGCCAGGCTTGTATTCCCACCACTACCCCAAGTTCCGATTTCATTTTGCCCTCCTTCACCCCACCCAGACACAGGTTTATTTGCAGAACTTTCCCAATTGCTGTTTTTTGCTTGATCGACTTCCTCGCCCCACCCATTCTTCCCAGAAGTCCATCCTTGATTGGGCTGGCGTCCACCTCCCCAGCCCTGATCCTTGCTAGAATTCTCATTCCAAGAGGAAGATGTCTTTTCATCTGGTCGTCCTCCTCCCCAGTTGGAAGAGTTGTTGTTCTTATAGTCATTCCAGCCTCCTGTGTTCTTGGGGTCCTTCCACTCTGTAGAGGCTGAGAGCTCCCCCCATCCAGACTTCATTTGATTGCTTTGGCTGGGTGCATCTCCCCAGCCCCCTGAGTTCTTGGTCTGTGTGGCAGCGCTCTCCCACCCCTCAGTTCCTTTGTCTGATTTCCCCTCAGGCCTTGGCACCTCTTCAATATCCCACACTGTGTCCTGCTTAATTTGAGTCTGGCCCCAGCCAGTGTTGGAGAGCACCCTGGGGTCCAAATCAGTTCGGCTCAAAAGAGTCTGCAAGACAGCCTGACAATCAGGATGTGTGGGCCTGTATGACCGCCGGCCAGAATTGTGACTGTCACTACTTCCTGCTTTGTGGTTGCTTCCAGTGCTTTGACCTCCAACTTCACTTCCTGTGGAGCTGGAAGATCTTCCCCAACAGGGAGCCTGGGCATTGCCTTGGTTTTCAGGGAGGGGGTGGCCCTTCTGATTGTCCCATGCTCCAGTGCTAGAATTTGGTTGGTTTGGACCACTCCATTCTCCAATTTTCAACTCATCAGACCCAGTCGGCTGTTTCCATTCTCCCTGAGAAACCCCAGATGTCATTTTGTTCCCTTCACCCCATTTGTTGTCATTAGAGTCCTGAGGGCCAAAGTTCCAGGACCCACCCGTAGACCTATTATTGTTGTCCCAAGAGTCATTTTTTGACCCGGTTGATTTCTGAACCGAAGCTCCTTTCCAGGAGTCCTCTCTCTCTTTTCCATTGTTCCCATTGTTTCCAGAATTGCTTTGTCCAGAGACTGTGTCAGTTCCAGAAGGCCCCCTAGCTGCACCCCAAGATCCAACACTCCCAGTCTTTCGATCTCCAGTGCTTTGTGAAGGGGCATCAGTGCTCCTGGAGGTGTTCCCCAAGCCCATTCCAAAGGGCATTCCCTTATTCTCCATGGGGTTTGGTGAACTTAAGTTCAAGGAGTTAGTGTTTCCATTTTTTGGTCCATCAGTGTTATGAATTTGAGCCTGTTCTCTGCCGGAGACAACAAAATTAACACCCGCATTTTCCATCTTTGACTGCTGTTCCCTGGATGCCTGACCTACTGTGCTAACCTGTGCACTGGAATTACTATTATCAGTTTCCAATGCTCCTTTCCTAGAAGTTCCTTCTTGGACCAGTGCTGGCCAGGCAGATGGGTTGCTATTTGGGTTAAAGTTGCTGAAGCCAGAGCCAGGTCCAATTCTATCCTGACCACTCACATTCCTCCAATTTCCTAGTCCATTGTTGCTCTCTGTAGTAGAGTTGGAAGATTGAACAGATTTAGCCTTAGGGTCAGATTTCCAGACCCCAAGATTACATTCGTTCCCAGAACTTGCAGACTGGCACTGGCTCCCTTTTCCTTTGTTACTAGTGGTGCTTCCTGGCAGAGTGCTCTTCTCAGAGCCAGGGTTCGAGGCACTGTTGTTATCGGTGGTGTTTTCGGAAGAAGATTCAGTGTCTTTGCTGGCAATACAAGGCCACTCTTCCATGTCAGACCCGTCTACAATCACCTTGTCCCAGATGTGAATTGGGTTGGGGGAGGCGCCGTTGTTGGAGGAGGCTCCCGGGCCCCACGTGGAATTTGCATAATTTGAAGCAGCAGCACCTCCAAGGGTTGACTCTGGGAAAGAGATTGTCTTATCAGTCACAGCTTCACATGCATTACCCATTAATACCTGCGCTGCAAACTGCACCTGAAGAGCTCATCACATTTCCCCATAAACTAGCTTCTCTGCCCCTCTGCTTGTCTCGGTTGACTGTATCACAACTTAGTCACCTCTCCTCTTTCAATCTCCCGATGTTCAATGGCTAAGTCTAATTCCACACTTCTCAAAGCTATCTCCTTGCCATTCCTAATGACAAGGAAGGGCCTTTATTTATCCTGAGACAATGCAACTACACCCTAATCTTTGTGTATCCCATCAACTCTAAACACTCTGGTTCCAGTGTTTTTTCTAAAGCACACCTTTTGTTATATCACTGCTGTTTGGAGCACTTTCAGCAGTTCCTTAATGCAAAAGAATAAAGCTAAACTCTTTGGGCTAGAGTCTGATTAAGATACTCCATGACCTGGGAGCAACCAGTCTTTCTAGTCTGATCTTCTACTACTTGTGGAGAGGTCTACACTCCACATTACTTGACATTCCAGTTTATGCTTCCTCACCCTGGCACCATTCCATGTTGTTATCTAATTGTTTTTTCCTCATGAATTCAAACAATGAAAGTTGGTCATCTTTCTGGGCCTAGTTCAAGTGCCATTTCTCCTAGAAAGGTATTTTTTGAGCCCATCACCTGAAAATAACCTTCTCCTGGTTAGAGCCATTTTGCTAAGTGTTGGAGCACTCTGCTTATTGTGTCTTTCCATGCGCGTGCCTTTTAGGCTGAGACCCTGCCTTTCTAATGTGTGCAATCCACACAGTGGCCAGTGCAGCGCTACTCAGTAAGCATCTACTGAACAAAGACTGCCCACTGAGCTCAACTGCAAGGAATGCAAGCATCAGACAGATTAAGCAGACAAGAGTTCGTATCTCTCAGGAACTCTGACAAATTAGACTGGCTTGACACATATTTGGTAAAATCTACCATATTTGGTGGTGAAAAGATGGTATGTTCATGATAATATAATTTCTTTTTAACTTATTTTAGCCCTCTAAGCAGCTTCAAAAACCAGCAGCACTGCTGCTGCTGAGTCATAGATCGGTGGAGGCTCAGGTGCATTCAAGATTTGGCTTAATCCATAACCCAGCTATGGCCAAGGAAGGCAATGCTGCTGGAGGTGTAATGGACATTAGGACTGCTTATATGATGCACCTGCTTCACCCACAGTGGCCTAGCATGTGGAATCTACAAAGGTGCAGAAGCCTGTCTTTTGTGCTGGCATCCAAATGTGATGAACCTTCAAAGGCCAAGTAGGTGGAGAACCTTAGTGCTGAACACCAAATTGACCTTGTTGAAGCTGATGCCAATGAGAAACTAGGAAAATGGGTAGGCATCTGTAAAACTCACGGGCAGGGAAAATCCCATAAAGTGGTTTGTTGCAGCTATGTAGAAGTTAAGAGCTATGGCGAAGCATCTCACACCGAGGATGCCATCCAAGAATACTTTCAAATGCAAAAAATGAATAGAAAAATCTGACTCACAAGAAAAAAAAAAAGTGAAAAAAATATTACATAGAGAGATAAAAGTGAGGAAGTACAGAATCCCATACTCATGAGATCTCAAGACTATGTGTTAACAATGAAAAGGAGATTCTGATTCACGCGGGACCTCTGTTTCCTTTGAGGCCTGGCTATCCTCAGTTGCAAAAATGCTTCCTTTTGCAACTGTTTATGAGGGACCAAAATGGAAGGGCCACGGGCCTTTTCCTACCAGCTTTGAGCCTGGCCCGACAGCCCACAGGGGAGCCTCTGGGTAGGGCTCAACTGTGCATGAAGTCTGTGTCCTCACTAGGTTCCTTTCCATCCTTATTCTGCAGATAACAAGGTGATGACAGAACATTCTAGGCATTTCTTTGTTCAAATGCAGAACTCAAATGAGGCATACTATCACTGACAGCTATCAACTCATTGTCTGTGATGCTTGACAAGGTTCAAGATTTAAATTTTAATGCAGCCTCAAAAGACACTTTAAGAGCTAAATTAAATTCTGTTAATGAGGTTAAAAAAAAAAATTAGGGGAGCTGGAAGTTCTTAGCTGTTAGTGGACTTAAAATTTATTTACTAAAAACTCTCAGAATTTCAGGCTGGACCCATAGCACACTGATTAAGTGCTATGTGGTGAGAGCTGGATTCCACACAACCGACCACAGTTTATGAGTCCTGGCCCCAGTGGGATGAAAAGCACGCAGAGAGGGACAAGCAGTTAGCATAATGGCTATGTCGCTGGAATCCCACATAGTCGACCACAGTTCAAGTCCCGGACCCGATGGCTTAAACTCACGCCAGACGTGTGTGCGTGCGTGCCCAAGATCCTGAGAGGAAAATGGAGGAGAGGGGATTGCGGCGTGGCCATCCCCCCTGGGGGGTGATTTCTCACTTTCTGTCTCTCTGTCTCTGTCTGTCTGGCGAGCACACACACCTTATAGCAAAAACCTCTCCAAAGGAAAAAAAAGTAAAATAAAAAAGAAAAACACGCAGGGAGCATGTGCATGCATGCCTAAGCATCCTGATGGGTAGGAGAAATGGAGAAAGGCCTCCATTTCTTTCTCTCTTTTGTGCACATGCCCTCGGCATTAGAAAGAAAAAAATAAATCTAGAAGCAGAACCTTCCAGGTAAATTCCTTTACGTCTACATACAATATTTAACAAAGCTTAGAATCCAGGGTCCTCAAAAGAAATCTTGGCTTAAAAAGTCCAAATAGAAAACTGTAGAATGGTATTATTACTTGGTATCCTACCAAGATTCTGTACTGTAATCGAAGAGCTCATTCTCTCTATACTCCAAGCATTCTAGAAACATAAATAGATATCTGAATATTCAGAGCAAGCCTCCACGCAAGCTTGACTTTGAATCATACTCCGCACACAAACTTTTACATACAGTGGAATTACGGAGGCTTGGATTTATAATGTTCTTGCCTGAGATGGGAAAAAAAAGGTCAAAGAGTGATGTCGACAGCAGCGCCATCAGCCGCCCGTGCTGGGAGCACACACTTAGACGACACAGTGCCAGATGACAGCCAACAGGCACCTCTTACCAGGACCCACTCTTCTGAGTGATCCCCAAGTCTATAAAATTACGGGTTTTATGGCTTTTACACCAGGCCATGCAAGCGAAGTGCTCCTTCTCTCACGTGGCCATGAGGGTAACTCGCCAGCCTTACCTGGTGCAGTCCCACTCTCACTCTGCAGCAGCGTTCCTGTCACTTGTGCGTTGTTTGGGTTTGCTCCAGGTGCTGTGCAGGGAGGAGGCCCTGCCCCACCCCCGAGGAGCATGCAGGACGGCGGAGGAGGCTGCCCACGTTTTAGTAACACTTTGTGGTCCTGCTGGCAACGGAATCGCGGCGGCACCTCCCGAGGCATGTAGCGGGCGGCGCTTGGCGGTTGTCCGTTCGGCACTGCCACCCTTTTGGCATTGTTGCCACCATTGACTGGTGGCGATGGAGAGCTGCCAATTGGGCTGGCGGCCGTTGGTTGGCTTAAACTTGGTTTCGTCACTTCGGGCACTGAAAGAGGTTGAGAAATAATTTTTGAAATCAAATACATTTTTCTAAAGATCATTTTTAAGAAGGCTTATAAGACACTAATTGCAACATGACAATTCTCCTTTTCACTCTACTCTTGAGGAACATCATCTTTCAAAATTCCCCACAGCATCATCAGTTTACTGAAAGTAGGGTGGAGGTGGCAGGTGATAGTGACAAGGAATCGAAAACTGCAAGATCCAAGAATTACATTCCATTAATTAAGGAGGACAGGGAAGCAATCATCCTTCCCTTCTCGAAATCAATTCCCTAAAGGTTCTTTTGCAGGTGTAACTGTCCATGGCAGTCTTTAGTAAAAGGTTCAAGACCCTCAGACCAAAGGCCCCTTTGTCCACATTCTTAAAATATGTGACTCTGACAAACGTTTCCTGAAGTCCCTGAACTAAGTGAGCTAAGCACCCTCACGTGTACTCCTGGAACATGCAGTCCGTCTCCCTCTCCCACTGAAACGAACGTGTTACATGCAAATTCTGTAATTCCTGGCTCTCCTCTCCCTCACCAGGTCATGAATCCCTCAAGGGCAAGGACTCCTCTTTTATCTTTTTTTCTCAGGGCTTTTTCCTTTAGCACCCCAACAGTAACCCTAAAAGCCCAGAGAATCACAAAACTTGACTTGCTTTTGGTTTCTATGGCTACCCGAACTCAAAACTTTGTTCGGCTCTCTATAAATGTTAGAAACATTATAAATCATTTTTAAAAATCAAAATAAATTGTTCTCTTTATTTAAAATAAAAATTTCAAAGTGCAGATAGTTTCCTTATTTACCTTAAGTCATTGTTTTATAACCTTAATTTATTTTTTTTTGGAGAGATTTTCGCTATAGGGCGCGTGCGCTCGCCAGACAGACAGAGAGAGACATAGAGATAGAAAGCGAGAAATCACTCCCCAGGGGGGAAGGCCACGCTGCAATCCCTTCTCCTCCATTCTCCTCTCAGGATCTTGGGCATGCATGCACACGCACCCGGTGTGAGTTTTAAGCCACCGGGTCCAGAACGCAAACCGCGGTCGACTACGTGGGAGTCCAGCGACATAGTCATTACGCTAACTGCTGGTTCCCTTAACCTTAATTTTTAAAACGGCAGCATGAGAATGCACAGGTCAATCACAAAGCTACACTCTACTGGGCCTTTGGCCCTCCCCTTCTCAGCCCCCCAGACAAAGTTCTCTTAGATGTGTCCCTCTCTCGCTGCACTCTATCAAAAGACCATACACTTGCCAAGAAAATCTACCTGGCTAATAGGGGATGGCAGTTTTGTAGAAATAATCACCAAGCTCAGTAATTCTATTGGTTCTGAAGCTAAATCCCTCCGCTCAGAGTACTGTCAGGCCAGCTCCAGTGGCATACTGCTGTGACTGCTGAAATGCTGCTGGGCCAGCATGTGGCTTGTCTAACTGGCTCCTTTATGAGAGAGACACATCATCAGAAATCAGGGGCCCAATCTATATCCCCACCGGACACGAGTGAGCACTGTGAGGGACAGGAGAGAAGAAGGAGGTACTCAACTAACTTCTAGGCAACCCCCAGGTCCCACCAGGGCCAGTGCTGCGCCTCCCAGTAAAGAATGAAGATCAGAGCATCCATAATACAATAAGCAAAATAAATGTGCGACTTAAGAAAATAAGCTAGTCATTGTTTCCATTAATACTATACCTAGTACATGACCTGTAACAGCCAATTAATAAATAACTGCTCAAAAATGAATGAAGACTATTTCATGGCTCGTTTTCTGTTTCTGGAGGATCCATAGCACTTGGCATTCCCAGTCTCCTTTTCTCTTATCAGAATATAAATTTGCCAAAGTCTAGGGGAATAGATTCTCCCCAAATGGTTTTTAGGATGGAGGGAGCTATGCGTCTACGAGGCTGCCCTTCTACAAAAGCACCAGGCTTCACTTTAAGTTACCAGGCCTGCTACGTGCCTCCTAAAAAGGACAAGGCGGACGTGCAGCAGCCCACAGGACTGAGGCTGATGACCACCGTGACCAACTACACAACATTCACTGCACTGTCGACCAAAGAAACCTGCTGGCATCATGTGCCTGCGAGTTCCTTGCAGGCTTCTCCAGGAACTGCCCTTCTAGGGCCAGAGGTCAGTCACTCACAACTCCAAGACCCGATGAGAAAAGCCTGCAGTACCGAGTCAGTCAGGACCAGACTGGATGCCAGGACCTAACGGGATCCCTACTGTACTTTTTAAATTACATCTTGCTAGGAATTCAAGTACTGTAAGCACTGAAGGGCCAATCAGGATCCTTGACACAAACTGGAGAGCAGTGGAGCTATGAGGCAGGAGGCCTGATCCACCCTGGTTTCCAAGTCCAAACTGAAGACAACAGAATTGTGTGTGGAGCTGGTTACGCAGAATGGTGGATGATAACAGAAGAAAAAGTAATAAGTCTCAACATCATTCAGATCCTATTTGTTCCCGTGTCTTAATAATGTTTCTAAAGATGAGCCACTCAAAATAAGGACATGGTTTCTTATTTTCCAGAGAAAAAGTGTATGGCTTAAATTTGGTCTCTATGTCACAGGAAAAATGAAAATACTGCAAAAAAAAAATGCTGGGTGTCCTATTCTCTAATTAATATTCATATTTTTCTAAAAATCATTTAGGTACTGTAACGACTGAATATTTTCCCCTTTCCCCAGTCCCTTTACTTAGGCTATTTTCATATCTTTAAGTTTAAACTTCTTTTTTAAAAGACTTAATTTTATTTATTGTTATTATTTTTAAAATTTGCTAAAGGGCATGTGGGCTCATTAGAGAGAGACAGAGAGGCAAATGCAGAAAACAAGCCGCCAGGTCCAGGACCCAAATGTGGCTGGCCATGTGGGAGTCCAGCATCTTAACCACTACACCACCTGCTGGCCCCACAGCTTAAACTTCTGTCCTAGGATCTTTTTTGCCTGTTTACCTTCTCATCCTATGATGGCTTCTGGGTCCAGGGACTGACACACTTACATTTCAGGTGACTGGCTGGCTCAGTTTCTTTTTTTTTTTTTGGAGAGGTTTTTGCTATAGGGCGCATGCGCTCGCCAGACCGACAAAGAGAGACATAGAGACAGAAAGCGAGAAATCACCCCCCAGAGGGGATGGTCACGCCACAATCCCTTCTCCTCCATTCTCCTCTCGGGATCTTGGGCACGCACGCACATGTGCCCGGCGTGAGTTTTAAGCCACCGGGTCCGGGACGCAAACCGCGGTCGACTACGTGGGAGTCCAGCGACATAGCCATTACGCTAACTGCTGGTTCCCCTGGCTTAGTTTCTTAACCAATGAACAAATGAACATCAAATCGTTGGTGATATAACCTAACAGTGGTGGTGGTGGTGGTGGCGGTGGAAATCCCATCGTGCAGGCTGAGTTTTGGGGTGGCAGACCAGAGAAGGAGGAAAGGAGTGAACAGCGTGAACGTCAAGCATTTTCCTTACTGGGGAACCCTGAGTATAAATGGCAGGGCTGGGAGAGGCAGAGACCAGTGAGCAGGACAGGTGGCTGGTGCTGGCCAGGGTGAGGACGTCTGCGATGTAGGAGCCACAGTTTAAACTTCTAATCGCCCCGAATGATGAAAACTTCAAGCCGCTACTTTTTCAGACCAGAGTATTTCCCCCCATCACAACATGTTGAATTTATTGCAAGAGATAAAGTACTAGACCGCATATACTAGGAATTTAAATACACACACACACACACACACACACACACACACACACAACAAAACAACGGTAAGTGTGATTTTGACTGTTTTTAAAATTTCTAAGGGGGTCCAGCAGGTGGTATAGTTGTTAAAGATGCTGGATTCCCACATGGCTGAGCCCGGTTTGAGTCTTGACCTGGTGGCTTGCTTTCTCACTTTCTCTTTCTCTGGTCAAACTAAAACTAATAATAATAATAATAAAGTTATATAAAGTAATTAATCCAAAAATTTCAGGGGACCAGTGGATGATATAATGATTATGTCACTAGATTCCCACATAGTCAATCATGGTTTGAATCTTGGACCTGGGGACTTAAATTCACACCAGGTGCATGTGCATGCATGCCCGAGATCCCAAGAGAATTGAGAAGGGACTGCTGTGTAGCCATCCTTTATGGGAGGTGATTTCCTGCTTTCTGCCTCTCTCTCTGTCTCTCTCTCTCTCTGGCAAGCACACATGCCCTATACTGAAAATCTCTCTCAAAAAAAAAAAAAAATTCTGAGGGCTGGCCCTGTAGTATAGAGGTTAAGTGCTATGTGGATGGAGCCAGATCTCATGTGGTCAACCATGGTTCAAATCCTAGCCCCGGCAGCTTGAAAAATATGCTGGGCATATATGTGTATGCCCAGGATCCTGACAGGATGAAGAAACAGAGCAAAAAAAAGACAGTAGTACAACCGGGCCCCAAGGTGGGGTGCTTTCTCTTTCTCTCTCCCTCATACACACATGCTCTCTGGGAAAGGAAAGGAAAGGATGGCATCGAACAAAATGATCATCTAGGGCTGGCCTGTGGCCTAGTGGTTAGGGGAGGCGGACTCCTACCAACCACAGGAGTCATGGTCCTGGTGGCTTGAAAATCACACTGGGTGCATGTGCACATGTGCTTCAAATCCCATGAAGGATGGACAAGTGGAGGAGAAGGGACTGCGGCGTAACCACACCCCATTGTGGGGCGCTTTCTCCCTCTCCCCGCCTTTCTTCCTTTAACTTGCATGTGTGCCTTCTAATGAGTTTCTAAAAATTCTGAAACACTAGATTTTCAAGGCTGATGGTCCACAGTGAGTGGTCAATGTGTATTACCCATGCTCAGGGCCCTCTATCCCCATTTCATTACCATCCACACTTGCGTTTGTTCTGAGTATTTCCCTGGAAGCGTCTCTCCTCAGTAAGTCACTAGAGATCTTCACTGTCAGCCTGACGCACACTCCTCAGACTTGCCTTCTTTGTCTTTTCTGCAGCTTTTGCTACTACAGGTCATGTCC